CTTTTCTCTCACGGTAAATTGACTTCAGGAAACTTCTTGCCAGTGGTTCTGGGGGGCACAATATGTGTCTCTTACGTCATCTCTCCAGGAGATTTCTTTCCCCCCAATTGGCTAACAGCACTGCTGATTGCACACTGGGGATCTGAGAGCAGGCATCTCAACCCTACTGTCCAACAGAGCAAAACAGAACTGCTTCAAGATAGCTCTCTGCCTTGTCTACTCTGAAAAACTTGCTGCAATTCTCTAACCAACAAAACCATTCCCATCTGGTCAAGCATCTGTTTATATCTGCCAGTAGATAGTCTCTGTCATAAACCTTCCTTGCCCCAAAATGCCTATGGAGTCCTTTAAAAAAAAAGAAAAAAATTGCTTTATTGAGATATAGTTCACATACCACACAATTCACCCATTGAGAGTGATGTACAATCCTTTTAAGAGGATAGTCAACTCTTTCCAAATCATTCTGCAAGAGCAAGGAATGTGTACATTCCCAGATGCCAGTTCACTGTGAGGGTGGATTCTCCTGGGGCACCCCAGGCACCCTGCTGGGAATACGAATGAGGAGGCTATTTCCTGCTACCTCCTTCAGGGCAGTAATTGCTTACTTTGATACACCATCTCCGACACCTGCGACATCAGAGCTGGGGCCTGTGCTCTGGCTGGGCTCCCACTCAGTCTAGTGGCATGTCTGATGGTCCTGGCCGCCCTGGGGGTGAACAGCTCCTGTTTTAAGCTTTAAGCCAGTGGTGTGGTGATTTGGAGTTGGACATAGTGTGGGCTGATCCCCAGACTAAGTCTTCACCCACCTCATCTGCAGAGTCATAGCCTTCCCCAGTTCTGGGGCTCCTGCAGGCTGGGAAGGGGAAACCCTTGTTCTCTGCTGAGGAGACTCTCTCCCTCTCCTCATTCTTTGTGGTGGGATTTGGGCTGGGGGAGCAAAGCCCTTCACTGACTTCCTTTTGGATGAAGATTTGAAAGGTGTCTGTCCACCTTTCTTGTCCCTGAGTTTTTACCACCTTCTCCTACTGTTTCTGCAGCTGGGGGCGGTCGGCGGCCTTTGTTTTAACTAAGCTGAATCCTTGTGTGTGGGGGAGCTCCATGGTCTCCTCTCCTGTGGGCATTAACCTTAATCTCTGGAATTCTAAAGGCAGATTCACAGAATGAGGTCAGGTCACCCGAAAATGGTCATCTTTCCCATAAGTATAGTGAAAGCATGGCCATTTTTCTTTTTTCAAGGCTCTTAGAGGTTGTCTCAGAAACAGCCCCTTCCCAGACCTGAGCTTTCAAAGATCCCACTGGATTCACGTTCTGAGTGGAACTCAAAGTCCCAGTTGGTGCCTTGGCCTGTACATGGCTCTTAGCCGCTTTCTCAGACAAGCTGTGTCCCTCTCTCTTTTCCCTCTTGCTATGGACCAGAGCCTTCTCCTCTCTTCTGGAATCAGCCTCGGTGACTCCAGGAGACCCCTTTGTGAAGGGGGCCCTGCCATGACTCGGCCTGCCTGGTGTACCGTTGTGTCTGACACCTTCTCCAGGAGCTTTCTGGAGCACAAGATCTGTCAGCATCAATGTCTTCCCAGGTTTCTAGGGAATCCAACTGGGGCCACATAACTCTTCATAGCTCCAAGCACACATTGTGTGGCCTCTGCTTCTCCACCACGGTTATGGAGGCTGTCTCTACATGAAGCCCATGAAGGTCCTGCGGGCCATCTCACGACCTCCTTCATCTCTGCGTTTCTCTGACGCCTGCCAGTCTTACAATTTTCACCCATATTCCCAGTCCTGCCTGGAATGCCTGCTCCCCAAGCCTATACCTGTCAAGTCCTGTCAACCACACCCCTCCTGGCACCTCATTGGCCCCAAAGTCTCCCCTGGGGTTTGTTTCTGAGCCACGGGGCATCCTTATTCCCAGAATATTGCGGCCCCCTGTGGGGCAGCCCCTTCTTGTCCAGGAAGAGACTCAGCGTCTGAAGAAATTCAGAGTCTGAGGTAGAGACGCTAACAAATCATTTTGGAAGCACACCTGACTCCTCTGCCTGCCTGCCTAGCTATTTCAGAGAATTCAACTTTATAGCAAACAAAAAATTTTTTATTTCCCTTCTCTGCTTTCTGGAATATTTTGCCAATCACTCGATATCTATTCAGGGGACTAAAAGCATCCAGTAGATTCGCAGGAGTTTGTTGTTTGATTTTCTCTTATAATGAACTTACATGCTCCACAGAGTCTTTTGTGTGTCTCAAACTGATACGGAATGTAGTAGTAAAGGGAGGGAGAGAAAACCAAGCAGAAGTGAGCATCCTGCAGGGTTCCTCCAGCACAGTCTCACCCCCTTTGAGGAGATCCTCAGAAGAGGCGGTGCCATCACTGTTCAGTGGGTAGAAAGTTACAGGTATAGTACAAGAGGCAGAAGGCCTAGGAATGTGCTGGTCGACATGGCACCTCTAGTGAACAGTACTGTAATGTGCACTTAAACATGTGTCAAGAAGGTGGCTCTAATGCCACATGTTCTTGCCCCAAAATACAGAAAGAGAAAGAAAGAGACTCAGGAGACTTAAGGAGGTGATGGATGTGTTCATTACCTCGATTGTGGTGACGGGATCACGTGTGTTCACATACGTCCAAACTCATCAAATTGTAGACAATAAGTATACGCTGTTTTTTGTATGTCAATCACACCTCAATAAAGCTGTAAACAAAATAGAGTTAATTTCACCTGAAAAATAGAAAGGATGCAGTGACCATGAACAGACACCACACACTGAGTTTCCTGACAGGATCACAGCCTTGTGTCAACATCAGTTATTTAAATCTGGAGAAACAAAGCAGCCTGTGATACTGAGTAAGCGGGATGGGATTCCAAAATATAATTGTGAGATAATTCATCATCTCAGAATAAAAAGACAATTACATGCATCTTAGTTTCCCCATCAATTGCTCATGCTCCTACCTGTCCAGTTTCTCCTCTTGCAGTCTCCCCAACCCCTGAATCATGCAACACCCCAGGAGATTTCTTCCCCCATTGCTGGGATGTGTTCTGCTTCCAATACCAAGTGGGGCAGGGAACTGAGTCTGACTCAGCTGTCCCCTAGAGCAATTCCTTCTCATGCTGTAACGTGTGACTGCTGAAGCCTGGCCGTGCAGTTTCAGGGATGAATCTAGCCCACTGTTGCAGGGCCACAGTGCAGAGGTGGTCCAGGGCCATGTCCAGGCCTCAGTGGTGCCCACGTGGGGCCCGGAGCCTCTGCTCGGTTCTGTTCATGTTGCTGTGGTAACAGGACTAACACAAAGTGTGCAGGGAGTTTGTGGTGTTGAATGGAGGTCACCAGGTTAGACTATAAAGATTTTATTTCAGAGGCCTTGATAACCTCTTCCTACCCAGCACTTGGATAGGTCACGCTGTCCAACTTGATAGCTCTTTCTAGCCACCAAGTTTGGGAGTTGTGATGTGAAAGTGAAGGAAGGCTTAGGGGAATTGCTGTCTCCGTTCATGAAAACCCTGGGATCCTCTGTGAAAATCAATCCAGTGATAGCTTTGTGGGCCAGAAGAACATAGGGAGGGGTCTTCTTCCCCTTAGTCTCCCTCCCGCCACAGACAGAATAGATCATCTTTAAGTTGACATTCCACTTTCCCAAACCAAGGAGAATGCTCGTAAGCTATCTGTTCAAACCACAAGAAGCAACGCCTCAGCTTCCCTGGCCCTCCTTCCTCTATCCCCAGCCTACCAGGGAGCCTGTTCAGACTCTGTCTCCCCCAGACTGTAAGCTCAGTGAGGGTGGGGCTGTGTCTATCTCATTCATGGAAGCTTCCACCAATGCCTGGCCAGCCAGTGACTAGCTGATCTGAGGATCCAAGAAGTGTTTGCCAGGTGAAAGACTACACACTCCCTCTCTCCTCACCATTGTTCAGAGGTTAGAGCCAATCTGGGGCTCTCTCCACATCACCAGGATGGAATCCCTTTAGACTCAGAAGCTCCCATTCTTTAAAGCAACGAGACCCTTTTTGTCTCTCTCCTTGCTTTCTTGGGCCCAATTCTTGCTATGTCACAACCTTGCTCAGGTCCCTCTCTGGACGTCAGTTTCTTCCTCTGCAACATAAGGGGGTTGACCACCTCTGAGGGCCCTTCTAACCCTGATCACCCCAATGAATCTAGGAACCCCACGCCAGCCACTCGCCCTCCTCAGAGCACTTATCACAGAGCCAAGCAGGCTCAGAAAGGCTCCCTCAACCTCATTGGCCTTCTCGCAGGGGGAGGCAGAGGGGTTGGGCACCCTGGGCGTCCTCACCGACCACCAGCCACGGCCTAGCACAGGTGGGAAGGCACGATCTCAAAGTGGGCAGGGAGAGCAGGCTGCCAGAGGACAGACAGCTTGCTGGCTTGCTCAGCGAGGGCAGGGAGGGGTTGGGGTGGAGTAGAAAGGAACTCATCAACCAGTTTCCTCCCAAACCAGCTGCAGGCCAGGGCCAGGAATTTCACAAAAAAGCAAAAGGAGCTTTGTGAACATTACCTGCCCCGCCCCAGTCCCCTTCTGGGCATTGACAGCCCAGCTCAGGGTTACTACACTGCTCACCTGTGAAGCAATCTTCCTGTGAGAGGGCTGAGTGTCTCAGCCAGGGACGGCCTATAAATGCAGGGCCTGCACGGCGCTGTCAAACCCCTCTGTGTGGCTCCTTGGTGTGGGTAAGTGAGCTGCCAGCTACCCAGGGCATGAGCTGGCCTGCCCACTTTCTGTACTCCCTCACCCATCTTCCTTTCAAACCCTCCTTCTGAACTCCCCTTCCTGATTGACCTGCCCACTCTAAAGCTTCCTTCACATTTTCTTAGATCATGTTCTCCTGGAGCCTTCTGTCCTCAGGTGCTCTGCTATTTGGCATTCTCCAGAGATTCTAAACACGATTCTCCATGTGTGCGACAGGCCATCTCCTAGATCAGTTGCAGCCCATGCTTTCTTTTTATTCTGTGTTGCCCCCTTCATTCCTGCCAGAAGCCAAAAGCCTTTTCTTCTAGGCACCTGAACCCTTGCTTCTCCATCCTCAGACAGACTGCAGGAAGATGGCGGAATTGTCGGAGATGGAGAGGAGCATAGAGACCATCATCAACGTCTTCCACCAGTACTCTGTGCGGCTGGGGCACCCGGACACCCTGAACCAGAAAGAATTCAAACAGCTGGTGCAAAAAGAGCTGGAAAACTTCCTCAAGGTAGGGCTGCATTCCTGGCAGGCCTGGCCCTGGCTGGCAACAGTCTGGGCTCAGGATGGAGGATGGGGTACAATCTGCAACTGTCGAGGAGAAAATTCTGGTTCCTTCAACCCACCCTCCCGAGGTAGCCGGGCCCCTGTCACTGGATGTGCTCCAAGTTAGATGGCCTGGAAGAGTCAGTAGAGACTGACTGGCTAAACATATGCTGTGTGCCAGGTCCTGTCCTGGGCAGGGGCAAGTAGTGGCGAAGAGAGACCCACAGTCCAAATGGAAGAGACTCACAGCAAAGATGTTGACGAACCAAGAGCACAGATAAATCCAATGCCAACAAGTATCCAAAAGACAACAAGTGAGGGTGCTGTGGGTGACGTTGGCTGGATGGGGAGAGGTGACTCTCTAGGTGAACAGGAAGGGCCCTGCTGAGGAGATGACATTTGAGTCGAGATGGGGATGTTGAGGAGGGAAGCAATTGAGGAAGACCCTTGGCAGAATCCGAGGAGACTCCAAGCCTCAGATGGGATTCGGAGGAGAAAGCTGAGAGGGTTTTCTAATCTGAAGGGTCTGTGGTAGGAGTCATGTGCATGGGGAAGCACCCAGCCCAGCACTGCATGTACAAAACCTCTCAGTACCAGGTAAGTTTATTTCCCTGGTCTGAAAACGATTAGGCAGTTCTAGGACAAAGGAAGATTAGTTCCACAGGATCTTTTAGTTTTCTTCATAAATGTGGGGACTTTGGGGAAACAGAGGCCTGGAGTAAGAAGGGTGGGACACTGTGTCCCAGTCTCAGTCCTGATTGTGGAGCAGGTGGCCAGCCCTCCCTGGAGCTCCTCCTCACCTTGGAAAGGTGGAGAAGCACTGCAGTAGGAGGTATTGGGGATGCTGACAGCTCCCCATAGGGGTGGATCTCAGCAAGCAGGACGCTGGCTCAGGGCAGACAAGGGAGGGTACAGCAAGATGTTGTGTGGGCAAAGCTTTTTTTCATGTGATCCCTACACTCACCTCATGCCCCCACATCCTCTGCCAGAAGCAGAGTGATAGGTCACAGGGGAAGCTGGAACCTGGCCCATGGGCTGCTCGGGAGTCAGTGCTCTTGCCGGGCGGCGATGGCTAAAGTGCAGTAAAGCAGACCATGGTGAAGCGCTGCAGGAGCGAGAAGGGCTGGGAGATGAGCTGGACACCCCAGGTTCTGGGGAGTGGGCTTAGCTGAGGTGCCCCCGCCAGTGGGTGGCAAAGCCAGAACCAGCTGGAGCTCCCTTCTGCCACACTTGGACCCCTCACCTCACCTCTTGTCCCCCTTGCATACTTTGTCAGTCCCTTTGAGGTCCATGCAGTACCCACTCTGCTCTCCGTCCCCACACAAGATCAGAACAATCTTGTTTTCCTCGAGTGCTTCCCACGGTGCAGGTTGAAGTGAGTGTCACTAATTAGTGACCCCAAGAGGGCAGGGAGAGGAGGGAGCCAAGGAGACAGGAGTGGAGGGAAGGGGACAAGACGGCTCTGAGTCGGATCAGAAGGTGCATTTCCAGCATCTTCTCACAAGTCTCATCAATCTGCAAAAGCTAATGAACCTTTCCAAGACAATTTCCTCAAGGAGTATGCCAAGTCTCCTGTTAACGTTGTTTGAGGGCCCAATGAGGTAACATTTCTATCCTTTCTAATTGTGTGACCTCAGGCAAGTCACTTGACCTTACTTTGTCTTCTATAAATGGAGAGAATCACAGCCTCTGACTTGTATGCGTGATGAGTGGGAAAGTGTTTGGCACATGCTCAGCATCTGCTAAGCTGTGGGTGCTCAGCCGTGGTCATTTTTAGTATTTGAGTTGAGGCTCAGGGGCCAGGTGTCCCTGTGCCTTTGCCATTGGGTCATGGGCTGTGTTCCCTGTCCCCAGCCCTGGCCACGGCCAGCCCTGACCATCCTGTTTCCCTCTCCCACAGAATAAGAAGAAGGATGAGAAAGTCATAAATCATATCTTGGAGGACCTGGACACAAATGTAGACAAGCAGCTGAGCTTCGAGGAGTTCATCGTCCTGGTGGCCCGGCTGACGGTAGCCTCCCATGAGAAGATGCATGAGAATGCCCACAATACAGAAGGCCATAAGCATGGGGCAGGCCTCGGGGAGGATGACACCCACCATGATGACAGCCATGGAGACCATGGCCATGGTCACGGCCACAGCCATGGAGGCCACGGCCACAGCCACTAATCAGGAGGCCAAGCCATGCTGCCTCTGCCCAACTAGGGCCACAGTCCTGTGTGCCACATTGCCTGAGCTGTGGGCCTGGGGGCTGTGGGATGAAATAAAGTCATCCTCTAAGCCAGTGCTCTGCATGCTTCTTCCATCATCCCCTTCCCAACCTGTCCTTCCAGGAGGTCTGGGCATTAGACAGCCCTGCCCCTTAACTGGGACTCAACCATTTCACTGGATAATAACAAATGGGAAGCAGTGATAATGTGGGTCTGTTCTGAGCCCTTGGGTTCACCTCCCTGACTGTTTCCTCACCTCTGACTTCAGGCCCCACTGCTCAGGTCCCAGTCACCCTGACCCAGCTTAAGACAACCTGTCCAGCCTGTCAAATTGGCCCTTGTCACTATAGAAAGCAAAAGGGGGATATCGCTTCCCCTCCACATGCTAGACACACCCCCACCCAGCCCAGACCCCCTCTTCACCAGGATATTCACACAACCTTCTCTCTCCTAAGAGACCCTTATTCCTCTGGAAGTCTTCCAGAAGTGCACGTAGACAGGGCTGTGTCTGAGGAGCAATACTGGAGTCTGGGCAGTGGGAACAAGGATGCATTGGGTGTGTTTACCCACAAGTCGAGTTCTGGATCCATGGGAGCAGTTGGGTGTCTCTCAACAGACCTAGGAAGCTCACCATGGATACCGGGGCAGATGCGCATGTGGATGAATGTCTAGGAGTCTGGCCCCAGCATTCAGCCCTAGCAGGTGGGGAGAGTGAGAAGAGCACCTGTCTTCTGCTTAGAAGAAGGAGCTCCAATCCTGCTCTGCAGCTAAAATGCTCAGCCACCACTATGAGGAGGTGGGACTCTGGGTCCAGAGAGCCTTTCCGGACTAAAGATTCCAGCAAAAAGAAGACTGACAGATCAGTGTTTCGGGGAACTATAAAAAGACTGACAGCCATCCAGCCCCTATGTTACAAATGAAGAAAACCAGGCACATAGTGGAGGAGGAACCAGTCCAGAGTCATATGGGGTAGAATTGGTCAAGATAGCACAGAGAGAAAAAGGGCAGTGAATCCTATCTTATCCACTCCTTTCCAGTACTGAGCATGCAGAAAGGAGCAGCTGGGTCAGATTTCGGCTCTCCGACCCCGCCTGGCTGTAGGTGGGTCCCTAGGCTGCCTGCACTGGACCATGGGGCCCCTGCTCTAAGGGCCCAGGGCCTCTGCTGTGGGTGCAGTGATTTAAGGCTCCCACTTGAGGGCATGAGGGTGTTTCCAAGAACCACTCCAGGCTGGGAGCCTGGGGAGCAGAGTTTAGAAGACCCCAGGCACTTCCTTGTCTGACATGAAGATGCGAGAGCTGAGGATACTCACCTCTGACAGCCCTGTCCCCTACTCTCATGTTCTGGGAGAGGTCACACCTTCTGAATGCAGCCTGGTACAGGGGCAAGAGAACCAACCTGGGAGAGAGGAGCCTGGGTTCTACCAGTGGCCTCACCAGGACTAGATGCTCTAGTAGGGTGGGGCAGGATGGGGGGTAGGCTCCCCCCACCCCCTCTCCCCGCCCTTACCTATCACAACTTGCCATAAATATGTTTGTGACTCTGTCTCCCCACTAGACCATGAAATCCATGAGAGCAAAGTCCGTGGCATCTGTCTTTTGTCTGCTTTATCCCCAGCACCTAGGGGAGTGGCTGATACATCGTACGTTCTCAACAATATTGCCCCGTGGATGTTCTAAAGTCTCCCCCATGGTCCATGCTCTCTTGTCAGGGAAAGGTGTGGAGAAAGGAGAGAGGAGGATGGCGGGATTAAAACCAGCAGATGGCAGGCTTCTGGAGATCATCATGGGATCTCAAACTAGAGGTAGGGGCAGTGAGGTGATGGGAATCCAGAGCCCCCTCGCAGGATTTATTCAGTCATCTCAGCCTTTATCTGTTGCACATGGAAGCTTCCATTTGAAGAAAAGGATTCGTCTTTAAAAAGGTTTGAAAAATTGTTGATTTAACCCAGTCTGCCCCACAACTATGATTGAGTGATTCTCCCCACCATCACTGCCAAGTGGTTGGCCCAGCCCTGCCTGAACTCTTCCAGGAAATGGAGCTTACTCCTTTGGCCCTGAACACTTAGAAAGTCCTTTCTTACACCGAGCCAAAGTTTGTCTCCTTGTGCCTGTTGAGCATTAATCCCAGTTTCCTCCCACCTCCTTGGACACAGAATAAATCTAACCCCTTCCTTCAGGCAGCCACCTATCCACATCTTCAGAACACTTTCCCTAAATCACATCTAGGCTTTCTCTGGCCTCTGCACCTTTGTACCAGGAATGCTGTCCCCACCCTGGGGTCTCTAGTAAGTCCCTTAGGACCCATGAAGGCCCAGAGCCTTTGTTACTACCTCCATGAAGACTTCCCTGACTACCTACCTTCCACAGGTATATAGGTGCTTCGTCCTCCAGGCCCATAGAGCTCTCTGACACTCATACCATTGCACTTCCAATATGGAATTGTGACCCCTTATCCGCAAGTCTCACAATGGCCCTGAAGTCAGGGACTCTGGTTGATCTACGGCATATCTCCAAGTGCCAGCATGGAACATGTTCTCAGTGAGCTTTAGAGATGAGCGAGTGAAGGTGGGTGGTCCTAGGACCCTACAGAGCTGGAGGGTGAGGTTGGACACAGTGTGAGGTGGGGACAGCTTTGGGTATTAGGAGTGTGCCCACAGTCCTGCCGCCTGGAAGCTGGGAGAGGGTGGAGCAGCTGAGCAGCAGGATGGCAGGGGACAGAGCTTCTGAGATGTCAAGAGTTCTCCTTTTGCCTTCTCTCTCTGCTGGCTCAACCCTAGAGAAGGAGGGTTGTGCTAGGGCCCAGGGGAAGGTCTGACAGCAAGCCACTCTCGCAGAGCGCTGTGGGATCTCTTTCAACATAGTTCAAGAGAGCTGGTCAAGGTGACCTAACCTCTGCCATCCCATTAACCTCTTCTGTTCCAAAAACCTGGCTCTGTTGAGTAGAGGGGAACTGGCTTTACCCTTGGATAAGGAAGGAGAGTGTCGGTGTCAAGGTGAGGATTTCCACTCCAAGTGAGGATTGGTGAGTACCTCTATGATTCATGAGTCCTTTTGGAAACAAGAAATTTCGGGGTTTCCCCGGCATCGTGGCAACTAAAGAACAGAGATCCTGTGGTCAGATACCTGCCTGCCAGTTCCTAGAAGGGGAGTTGCTCTCCTTAGAGGTGTAACCTGAACTTCTGGATGCCTTTCTGGGAGGGTGAGAAAGAACAGGGTCTGCCAGAGCTGCTGGACTCTGCTCAGATGCTTTACAAACCTCTGACTGTGCCCTGGGGCCTGGGTGATATGAGATGCTTCCAGAATGGGGGTAGAGATGAATTCTCTCTCATCATTCACATGTCTGTCCACTAATCTGCTCACTCAACAGACATTAATTATGGACTTAGTATATGTTGGGCACTATGTTACATTCTGAGGTGTTGCCAGGGTAAATCAGACTCCACCCTGTCATTAAGGATCTCCCAGGCCTGCAGGGCAGACAACACAGCTCCTCAGATGATTCTAATATGGAAAGTGAAAGGTCAGAGGGATGTCAAGCTTGGTGGGCCTTGAGATGGGAAGGCTGCCCTTCAGCTGGGCTGTCTCCCCGGAGGGGCGAATTTTGGAAACGCATTAAGGCATTTGCAAAGCATCAAGCAACATGCAAGTGATTCAGAAAGAGGAGGGAACGTGTACAAAGGCCTGGAGGTGGGTAGATGTGGGGTTTGAGCAGCATGAGGAGCCCTGGGGGTGTTTGAGGGTGAGGTGGAAGACACAGAGGAGAGCAGGGCAGATATCAGGCCACCGAGTGTACACTTTCTGCAGGAGAACAGGGACAGAAGCAGTGGAGCTTTTAGGGAGGAAAATGATATAACCACACTTGTGTTTTAGAAAAGTCTCCCTATCGGTGGTCTGTGGGATGGATTTGTGGTGGGACTGAGACCACCAGCACGAGGCCTGGTAGGAGGCTGCCGCCGTAGTCCAGGTGAGAGCTGGAGAGAGCCCAGGTGGTGGTTCTCAGAGAAGATGAGTACAGCCAGGATCTCAAGGTGCCCCAGGCCCATCTCAACTGGCAGCCATGTCCTGCAACCCCTACAGGGTAGAGAAGACAATTCTGTGCTGTTTCCCTGAGAAAGGCCTTAGCATTCACCAGCCCAGCGAAGCAATCTTGACACAAGCCCAGCTCTGAAATCAACTCCAGATTCCATCCTTAACATCCTGCATCCCCTCCCAGCAATTGTTGAAAACTTATATTTTAGAAAGCCCTGTGTCATGGATTTTGACTTTCCAATTATCAAAGTGACAATAGGACTGAAACAATGGTCGCTTAAGTCCTGTTGTCTCTGCTCCTGAAACAATTCCTCTACCCCTAGACTTGAGTCAGCCCCATGGCCTTGTGGACCCAACCCCTGTCTTCAGAGATGCCCCCACACACGAGAGACAAGGAGAGTGAGCACCCAGGTGGGCCAGCTGGCCTATTCCTGTGAGCGCCCCTAGGTTTTCCCTTTCCTCTGTGAGGTCTCCCATTTTTGCCCATGTACCTAGAATTGTCACATGCAGACTGTACAGTGAGAAAGGGCATTGTTCACAAACCTGAGGTGAGGGGAGAAGGAGAGTGGACCAGCAGCAGGCACAGCACAGGGAGCAGGATTCTGGCTGCAGCGTGGGGCAGCCCCAGCCCAGTTCCAGTCTATTCCCTCCCTCTCCACTCCCTGCCTCTCTCCCCTTTCCTTGTGGATTTGCCCCCTCTCTCAGTACTTGCACTTCCTACATTCTTTCTGAGTCTTTCCTTTGCTCACTGCTTTCTGCCCTCCTGGTCTCGATGGTAAGGTCCCACTCCAAGTAGCTGAGTCCTTCCAGGGAGGAGAATGCCTTTGAGAGGTAACTTGGGTCACATCTAACTAGGGATGACTCCTCCAAAATGGAAGATGCTCAGCTTCTGAGGTTCCTGTTCATAATGGAAGGAAAAAATTCCAAGGGAGAAATAGT